GGCAAGTCTTATGGAAAGGTCCAGTCTGTTTTGTTTTTGTTGTTAGGTGCCATCGAGTCGGTACTGACTCACAGCAACCTTATGCACAGCAGAACGAAACACTGCCCCATTCTGGGCCAACATCACTATATCGTAGCCACGCTTGAGCCCATTGATGCTGCCACTTTGCCAATCCATCTCACTGGGGTCGTCCTCTTTTTCTCTGACCCTCCACCTTACCAAACATGAAATCCTTCTCCAGATAATCCTTTCCTCCTGAGAATATGTCCGAAATATGAGAGATGAAGTTTGGCCATCCTGGCCTCCAAGGAACACTCTGGCTGCACTTCTTCCAACACAGATCTGTTGGTTCTTTTGGCAGCCCATGTCACTTTCAATATTCTCCTCCAACACCATAACTCAAATCATCCATTCTTCTATTGTCTTCCTTATTCACTGTCCAGCTTCTGCATGTATATGAGGTTATTGAAAATACCATGGCTTGGGTCAGGCGCACCTTAGTTCTCAAGCTGATATCTTTGCTCTTAAACACTTAAAAAAGATTTTTGTGCAGCAGATTTTCTTAGTGCAATATGTCATTTGATCTCTTGACTGTTGCTTCCATGAGTATTGATAGTTGATCCAACAAGAATGAAGTCCTTGACAACTTCAATCTTTTCTCCATTGATAAAAATGTCATTTATTGGTCCAGTGGTGAGGATTTTTGTTTTCTTTACATTAAGATGAAATCCATACCAAAGGCTGTGGTCTTTGATCTTTATCAGTAAGTATTTTAAGTCTTCTTCACTTTCAGCAAGCAAGGTTGTATCATCTACATATTGCAGATTGTTAATGAGTCTTCCTCCAATCCTGATGCCACATTTTTCTTCATATAACCCAGCTTCTTGGATGATTTGTTCAGCATACAAGTTGAATAAGTATGGTGAAAGAATACAAACCTTTCTTAATTTTAAACCATTCAGTGTTCCCATGTTCTGCTCGAACAACTGCCTCATGAGCACAATTAAGTGTTCAGGAATACTCATAGTTTGCAATGTTGTCCATAGCTTGTCATGATCCACACAATCAAAAGCCTTTGCATAGTCAATAAAGCACAGGTAAACATCTTTCTGGTATTATCTGCTTTCAGTCAAGGTCCATCAGACATCAGCAATGATATTCCTCATTCCACTTCCTCTCCTGAATACAGCTTGAACCTCTGGAAGTTCTATGGCAATATATACTTGCAGCCATTTCTGTATTACTTTAGTAAAACTTTATTTGCATGGGATATCAAAGATATTATCTGTAGATTTCCACATTCCATTGGGTCACCTCTCTTTGGAATGGGCACAAATACAGATCTCTTCCAATCAGTTGGCCAGATACATGTTTTTCAAATTTCTTGGCACAGATGAGTGAGTGCCTCCAGTGCCACCTCATTTTCTTGAAATATTTCAAGTTTTATTCCATCAATTTCTGGTGCCTTGTTCTTTGCCAATTCCTTCAATGCACCTTGGACTTTGTCCTTCGGTATCATTGGCTCTTGATCGTATGTTACCTCTAGAAACAACTGAACATCAACCACTTCCTTTTGGTACAGTGACTCTGTGTATTCCTTCCATCTTCTTTTGATGCTTTCTGCTTCACTCAATAATTTATTATTCACTCAACAACTTTTCAATAACAAAAGTTGAGGCTTGAATTGTTTCTTCAGTTACCCCAGCTTAAGAAATGCTGAGCGTGTTCTTCCTTTTTGGTTTTCTGAACCCAGATCTTTGTACATTTTGTTGTAATATTTGGCTTTATCTTCTCGAGCTGATCTTTAAAATTTTCTGCTCAGGTCCTGTACCTCCTTATTTCTTCCATTTGCTTTAGCATCTCTACGTTGGAAAGCAAGTTTCAGTGTCTCTTCTGAAATCCATTTTGATCTTTTCCTTCTTTCTTTTCTTCTTAATGACTTTTTGCTTTCTTCATGTATGATGTTCTTGATGTCTTCCACAACTTTTCTCTCTTCTGGTCTTTAGTCTTTAGTTTTTAACACATCAAATCTGTTCTTCAGATGATCTCCAAATTCAGGTGGGATATATTCAAGGTCATATTTTGGCTCTCATGGACTTTTCTTCATTTCTTCAGCTTCAGTTTGAATTTGCATATGAGCAGTTGATGGTCTGTTCCACAATCTGCCCTTGGCCTTGTTTTGACTGATGATATAGAGGTTTTCCACTGTCTCTTTCTGCAAATGTAGTCAATTTGATTTCTATATATTCCATCTGGTGAGGTCCATGTGTACAATCATCTCTTATGCATTCTAAAGAATGTATTTGAAATGAGCAAATCATTGATTTTGCAGAATTCTATCATGCGATCTCCAGCATCATTTCTCCACCAAGGCTGTATTTTCAAACTACTGATCCTTCCTCTTTGTTCCCAACCTTTGCTTTCCAATCTCCAGTAGTGATCAATGCATCCTGATTGCATGTTTGATCAATTTCAGATTGAAGAATTTGATAGAATTCTTCTATTTCATCCTCACTGGCTTTAGTGGTTGGTGCATAAATTTGAATAATAGTGGTATTAACTGGTCTTCCCTGTAGGCACATGGATATTATCCTATCACAGACAGAGTTGTACCAGACTCATAGTGACCATAAAATGTGGTTTCCAAAACTGTAAATCTTTACAGGATTGGGCAGCCTTAATTTTTCTCCTGTGTAGTATATGTTTGGTTTGAACTGCTGACCTTGCAGTTAGCAGTCCAAGGCCTAATCACAGTGCCATTAAGGCTAGGATGGTATCAAACTATTTAGCAGCAATAATCATGAGCAGGTAGACCTATTTCTATAGTTTGCTTCACCCTTATACTTGGCAGGGAAACAAGGAAATTCCATTCAGTTATTTTGGTGAGGCCACGTCTCCTGAGATGTTCCCATTCTTGTGACCACCCCCACTCTCCATACCCATCCCTAGGAGTGAAGTCTGCTGTACAATGTGTGGAAGCGATAGGCAGCATAGTGGAGCTGTTGATCACTAATGGCTACCGTTATTAAACCTTGGGCAGTTTACACAATCTTTCGCAGCAATAGTTTCTTTATGTATTAGAGATAATAAGAGGACCTACCTTGAGAGGTTGTTAGGAGGACTACATTAATCGATCCATGCCAAGCCTTTTGGATAGTAATCTCATATAACAAAACAGAGTAAATGATAGCTGGTAGCACTGCCATCATAATCACTAGCTCTCTGGACTCACTCATAGTTAACTGAACTAACTTCAAATAACCTGCAGAAGCTTCTTCTAAGAATATTCAAGAGCACTGCCTACTATTGGAAAAGTGCCCTCTTTGGGATAGACTGTTCTAAGTCCACAATGATGGAGCCGGAGTATAGATACATTTTCTAGTAGAACAGAAATACATCCCTTACCTGTGTTAACACAGTGGAGGGGCTATCTTTATGAGCAATGAAAATTGACTCCATAGAACCCACATTAGATGATTCAAAGGCTAATGTAATGCTTAGCAGGGTAGCTAAGCACATTAGGCAGTACCATTGGCTTGGAAGAAAGAACTGAATACAGATTCCATCTTGACCAATGGTGAGTTATAACCTTGGGGTAGCTGAAGAACTTCAGATTTTCCATCTGTAATATGTAGTAGTACTTACCTTGCAGGCCATTGGTGAGAATGAAATGAAATTACAGGCAGTCCCTCTCTTACTAATTTCTGATTTATGGACAACTTCTATTTGCCATTTAATATTATGTAGGTTTGCCCTCATTTTGAAATACTTGAATCAGCCCCTACTCATAACAAATTCTTCATCACAATCACATGCAGCTTTTAAATCCTTGACAAGGATTGGTGCCTTTTCATGGACTAAAATAAGGCTAAATTAAAACCATATGCACCCATTCTGACTTGCTTACAAATTCTTAGACACAGTCAGGAACAGATGTCATTTGGAATCTGGTGACTGACCATGCTTGACTCAAGTTAATTTGATCTGTGGCACTTATATTTATCAAGATGCTCAATAAATGTCTCTTCTTTCCCTCCTTCTTCAATGCAGGCCTGCCAGCTGCACATCTTTGTGCAGCCTGTGTTCTGAGGTTCTGAAAATTTGCTCATGCATCAAAGATTTTCCACGAAACCCAGGCACTGATTGGTTGTCCTAGGTACTGTTGTTGTTGCTATTAAGTGCCATTAAGTTGGTTCTGACTCATTGTAACCCTGTTTTGGGTTTCGGAGGAGTGGCTGGTGAGGTTGAACCACGGAACTTGTGGTTCAAAGTGACCTTGCAGTCCAGCACATTAATCCATAGCGCCACACCAGGACTCCTGTTCTATGTAGTAGGTATTCCTTTTTTGTAAGGTTGATAATACTGACTGTCACAAATATAGCAATTCAATATTATTAAAGTCCTAAACTATCTTGAAGGATCTCTAGTGGTGTAGTGTGTTACATGTTGGGGTGCTAATCACAAGGTCAGCAGTCGCTCCTCAGGAGAAACCCTATATAGGGTCACTAGGACTCAGAACCAATTCGATGGCACACTATGACCAAACTATCTTGGAAAAAAAGCAACCAATCTGCTGCTGATATAGGCCATCCTCTGGGGATGATTATTCACAATGGTATTTCTTTAAAAACAAACAGAAAACAAGAAAACTGATTGTCTCTCTGTTACAGCAAATAACACCACTTATATTATTTTAGTGGACTCCTGATGTGGCATTGTAGGATCAGCACTGGACTGGGAACCACAACATCAGCAGGTCAAACCCAACAGATGCCCCTTGGGAACCTACCAGGGTTGCTATTAGTCAGAACTGACTGGATGGCATTTAACAACAACAACATATTATTATTTCAGTAGAAGACCAACATGTAAAAAAGTAAAGGATCAAAAAGATCAGTAAAGAAAAAAAAAAGGGGGGGTGGCACCTCTTCTAAAGACTTGTCATGTTCCTCTGGCATAATGGTATATATATAAAGCTAACATTTAGGGCTTCAAAAAACTGTTACCTGAGTTCTGAGTTTAATCATATCAGCTTCCATCTGAGAATTGGACTCATTTAGCTCCTTGATTTCTTCATCTAATTGTTTGATTTCTTCATCATTTTCTATACCTGTAATGAGAAATATAAGAACATTAAAACTACCATATGTGAAAGTACTACAGCTAGGATTTTGAATTTTCTTGGCAATTGTGGGGAAGATACATGTTATGAATTGAAATAAAAAAATGATTTGCAGCTTGTGTCATTTTCTGTTCCTAAATCTTCTTATCCCCAATTTAGAAATCTAAGAAAAAGAGGAAAAAGATGAGGAAGAAGGAGAAGGAAAGAAGAAGGAAGAGGAGAAGAGAAAGATTAATTGAAGGCATAAAATGCAAAGAAGCACAGGCATTCAAAGGTAAAATGCCCCTCTAATGCCAGCTAAGTTTTGGCTTAAGAAGAGAGACATAGTTAACTTGGAAATCAATCATTAGGTCTGGAAAATAGAGAAATGGAACATTAATAAATGTTGAGTTATTTTAACATTTTAACTTTAAGGATATCTTCCAAATCACAGAACAGGAATAATTAGTCAGAGTCTCAAAGACTTGACCCTTTGAAAGAAACCATCTATTTTTGTCCAGGAGTTTTTACTAGTTCAGCCATTTATTGCTGCGTTCATTATTCATATGCACATGTGCTCACACACTCATTTCCTCATCCAGTCACTCTGTGAATGTGCAGTCTGGGTCAGGCTTTGTGGGTATACCTGCATACAAAACTGACCCATCTCTACTCTCAGGGTATTTATGTTTTGGCTAGGAAAACAGATAACTGTTATAACCAAGAGTAGAACTCAGTATTATATACTTATTTATGAAAATAATACAGTCTAATGTAAAAGTGACTGACCTCGGAGACAGTGATAGCTTCTAGGTAGGTGGGTATAAAAGAATTTTCTGGATATATAACATTTAACTAATTGAAAAACAAAAAACAAAAACTTCACATTTGGAATGTGGAAAAATGTATCAATTGACAAAATTAACAAGCTGCATTGGTTACGAACCTTAAGGTCAGCAGTTTGAAATTACCAGCTGTTCTGTGGGAGAAAGATGAGGCTTTCTACTCCCATAAAGATTTATAGCCACGGAAACCCTGTACAGGGTCGCCATGAGTCGGTTCCAACTCCACGGCACATAACAACCAACAGCAACAATAGCTTTGCTACAATGAAAGCGCCCAGCAATGTGTTTCTCTGCTCATCTTTATGACCGTGACAGGTAGAAAGTAGTGTTGTGCCTGATGGCTGACAATGAGCATGAACACCTGAAGATGTTGGAGTAGATTCCTCAGTCTTTCCATATGTGGGTACAAGAGCAAATTATTCTATTTACAGAGGACATTTTCAATGCCTAGTCATCTGATAGCGTAGTGGTTACGAATCAGGCTGCGAACCGCAAGGTCCGCAGTTCGAAACTACCAGCTGCTCCGCGGGAGAAAGATGAGGCTTTCTACTCCCAGCCTCGGAAACCCTGTACAGGGTCGCTATGGGTCGAAACCGACTCCACGGCACTTAACAACAACAACAAGTCATCTGGGCTGCTAAACAGATCAGCAATTTAAATCTACCAGCAGTTTTGTGGGAGAAACGTGAGGCTTTCTGCTTCCGTAAAGATTTACAGCCTCAAAAACCCTATACAGGGTCGCTATGAATTGGACCCAACTCCGTGGCACACAACCACCACCACCAGTCATCTGATGGTTCTGTCTGATGACTGCCAAAATCACATTGTTGTTGTTAGGTGTCGAGTCAATTCAAACTCATAGTGACCCAGTGTACAACAGAATGGATGTTGCCTGGTCTGTGCCATCCTTACAGTCTTCGTTATGTTTGAGTCCACTGTTCAGCCATTGTGTCAATCCATCTCACCGATTGTCTTCCTCTTTGTTTGTTGACCATCTATAAAGCATGATGCTTCTCCTGGGACTGTTTCCTTCTGATTATGTGACCAAAGCACATGAGATGAAGTTTTGCCAGCCATCCTCTATTCTAAGAAGCATTCTTACTGTACTTCTTCCAACACAGATTTGTTTATTCTTCTAGCAGTCCATGGTATAGTCAGCGTTCTTCAAAAACGCCATAATTCAAAGGCATCAGTTTTCTGTTGTGCGTATGAGATAATTTAAAATTCCAAGACTTGGGACAGGCACACCTTAGTCTTCAAACTGACATCTTTGCTCTTTAAAGAGGTCTTTTGTAGCAGATTTGCCTAATGCAATATGTCTTTTGATTTCTTGACTATTTGTTCCAAGAGTGTTGATTGAGGATTTAAGTTGCTTGGCCTTGATCAAATTATTTAGCCTCTTTGAATTTCCTTCTCTTCATAGGTAAAACGGAAGCTGCACAACTTGTTGGGATATTAATGTGATAAAATATACATAAGTTCCCAACACAGTGCTTGGCCTCGGAAGTGTTCAATAATAGTTAGAGCTGCTTTCCTTAGTTTTTTATAAAAACAAAAAATGTAAGAAAGAAAAACACATATCACACTTAAAAACACTTCTCTGCTAGAGGTTTGGCAAAAAAAAAGAAATAAAGCAAAGGAGAGCACAACTTTAGGCAGCAAACGAACAGGCATATAAAGAACTTTTTTTGCAAAGGTGTTCTGGAAGAGCAACTGCTGATAACTCCAATTTACACTTGGCTGCTCAAAGATAACTGAGGGCTAATTCATTATATGAGATCATTCAAGGTGATCAAGGAAATAATGATAATCTTGTGGGTGAGAGGGTAGGGGGCAGAGATGAAAGCAGACTCTTTCTCAAGTTAAAATAAATAAAAGAAGTATTTTAGAGCTAGAAAGGAGATTCAAGGACATTTAAAGTAATTCTCCTTTTCAAATAAATGCTTGAGGAAAAAAATCTATAATCTTTGTGTGGTGCTGTGGGATAAACACTGAATTTCTGAGCATAAGGTTGCCAGTTCAAACCCATCATTTGCTCCTAGGAAACCCTATACAGGGCTGCTAGGAGTCCAAACCAACTCCATGACACTTAACAACTTAAAGACATGAATGTCCTCAAGTCAGCTTCTGCAACTTAATAGTGGTTTCTAAATGAGGAAGGTGGGTGTTCTTGACTCATCTGTCACACATGCAAACATAAAAGTGACCTCAAATAGATTTTGCATTCATGATACTTGATCAAAGACAGAAAGAGATAGTGAGACAAAGAGATGGATATAGTCTTTTCCATATTTATAGCTTGTTGTTATGTTGTCAAGTGATATCTTATATAAGATTTCCACGTGTTGTCATAGCAACCGGTATAGCATTCCCAAGGGGTAGCTAGAGGTTTGAACCACCGACCTTGGGGTTAGCAGTCCAGTGCTTGTCCTATAGCACCATAGCAGGACTCCATATTTATAGTGATGGTAACATGCAAGTTGTAACAATACAACAAACTGATAAACAGGTGGTAGACTAGATCCTTAAAAATGAAAAGAGTTGGTTCTATGTTGCCCCAATATAAATAGTAGTCTTGGTGTGACGCTGTAGGATGAGCTCTGAACTGCTATTATAGCTGGTGGTGATGGTGGTGATAGGCTGTGGAGTTGGTTCCGACTCATAGCATAGTTAGGGCAACATGAAAGCAAGTCTTTTGACTTTTAAGGATGCAGTCTACAGCCTGTTCATCAGTTTGATGTACTGTTACAGCCTTAAAGTTGTTAAGATGTTGAAATAGGTCATGGCTATTTTAACCTATAGTTGACAGGTTATTGTAGAGCTTCTAGAATAAAACAGTCTAGAAAGATAGTCTGGGTCACTACTTTGGAAATTATCAACTGATAAACCTTATCACAACAGAATATTGTCTGATATAGTGCTGGAAGATTAACCGTCTACATTGAAAGTTACTGAACAATAGTCAGTGTACTGAAACATACCAGTAGTCACAAAGTTTCATTCTGTTATGCATAGGGTTGTTTTGAGTCTGAACTGACTGGATTCCAACTCACAACAACAATAATTGCAATGGAAAATGAAAAGTACAAAGTATTTGTACTTTTCTTTGGTGGGAGAGAGAAGATTCTTTGCAAGAGGAAATAAAGTTAGTTAAGAGGGTAGGTGACAAGGGATACTACAGTAAGGAAAAATGAAGTTAGTTAATGAGAAACTGAAACCTCAGAAAACAGGATTCAAGGAAATGGCACATCCCCAGGCACTGGAACCAGAACAGCCCACTGACAAAAGGGGTTGTTGTTGTTAAATGCAATTGAGTCAGTTCCTACTCCTAGGGAGGCATAGCTGATGAATTTGAACCACTAACTTTACAGCTCAAACCGACCTCGTGATTCCGTGCATTATCCTATAGAGCCATACCAGGACAAAGGGATGTATATTGAACCAAATTGTGCCTGGGACTCCACCTTCTCTCCTTCCGCAAGGTGGATGCCTGTTCTTAGCTCTCTGTGTAAGAATGTCTGTGCTTTTAATAAACCTTTCTTTCATTTCCCTAAGCCTTTTGTTTTTCTATCTTCTTTTGCAGAGTGTGTTATGCCTTCCCGGTTCTTTGGAAGGGTAGTAACACTGTTCTATGGAGGACAATTCAATCCTGACACTTCTTTATTTCTTTCTCTTTTTGAAAATGCAATGCTATCCAACTGCTCTTTTCTTCATTAATGAGTAATACATTTTGACATACACTCAGATCAATTGATCTAAAAATGTTTGCTTTAACAACAGGGTTATTTTAGTGTAAAATGTTATGCAAATTAACTTGGAAAGTCCCTGGCACATCATAGTCAGAGCTCAATAAGTATTGCACCTTAATGATTGAGACTTAATCACTGATACAACTGGAGACTGGTTATCCTAGTGTCTTAAAAGTAGGTCATTTGCTACTCCACCCGAGATTATATAAGCTAGTCTGAAGACTTCTTGAAGACCAGTTCTGATTCATAGTGATCACATGTGCCTGATAAAGTTTTTATGGATGATTTTCTGGAAGTAGATTGCCCGGACTTTCTTATGGCATCTCTGGGTGCTCTCAAACCTCCCGCCTTTTGGCTAGCTGCCAGGTGTATTAACTCTTTGCATCACCCAAGAAGGAAGGGATTGTCTAATTAATGTCCATTTCTTTAGCGCCTAATTGTGTGTTGAAAATAAGTGAAGTTGTGGTGAGAAAGAATGCTAGGCTTAAAAGAATCCAAGCCTTTAAGATACAAATATCATATATTTTATTATGGTAAATCAATTGGTCACATGCTAGGACCAATTATTTTGAGCTTGTCATTGGCATAAGCAACACTTTTGTAGGCAGATTCATACTAAGCTAAGGTAGTTGTCTCTCATGCTTTGTTTAATATTGAAAATAGATGGCTAAGTGGCAGACTATGTTGTTTAAGTTCTGCCAATTGGTTCCAACTCATATGGAGCCTGTATAGGGTTTTCTGAGTCTTTAAATTATTTTGGGAGCAGAAGCCTCATTTTTCTTCCATGGAGCAGCTGGTGGGCTCAAACTGCCCTCTCTTAATGATAGCAAATTTCATTAGATTAATTTCACTGATAGATTAGGGTGCTATTCTGTCGGGAGCCAACCCCCTATTGCCGTTAGACACAGTCCCGGCAAAGAAGAAGCATCAACACTGCAGATGTATTTTGGGAAATCACCCTTTATCTCTCTTCTTTGGGATGGTTCTGATTCCACTTGTGGGGATATGTTATATTGCTACATTTACGGCTCCTAATATGGGTTCTGTAGAAAAGCATGGATTTAGGGAAAAATCAGTCTTGCATAAATTGGCTCAAGTTTACAGGAGCAGATTCAAAGGAGATTTTAAAGAAACACCCATAGCCTGACAATTTAATGAATGTTATAGAAGAACAATTGAACTAAATAAATGCTGGGAAATTTTCATGGGCTATGACTAGAGTCTTGTATAGGTTAGAGAATAGGTAACTAAAGGGGACAATGGGCTAGTGTGGGGTAAGAAAATTAATAAATAACTATAACTTGTAACAGGAAAGGAATTTAATTAAGATGTTAAAAGTAGATATGACCTTTACAAAGAATAGGAAAAAACAGTCTGTCACCTATAAGAATGATGAGAACAGGGAGGAAACTTGTGGTTTATGAACTTTAAAATAAAGGTTACATAAAATTCAAGAGATTCATTATTAAACACTATGTAAGGATATAGGAAAAGAATGATATAATAAAATATGTAATCAATATGAGTAATGATCTAAAAATGAAATCATGAAATGTAGGAAAACACTTTGAGGCACTCTGTAACTTGAACTATAAAATAAAGATGTTGCTAAGCCGGAGTGAGCTCTCCTCCTCCAGCCAACTAAGCAGAGATGCCTTGATTACTTTCACTTCACCTTCTCCGTGTCTCCTTCCAAACCCCTGGACCTGTGAGAGCTGGACTCCAGCACTATTCAGATTCTGTTTCATTGTAAAGTGATTATTTGAGGGAAGAGCCAACCATTAAGCAATGCTATAGTTTAGGAGCATCAATAGTTCCTCCTGAAGATCATTTTTGTAAAATGGATATCTTTTTAAATATATATGCATTCAGTCCAGAAATGACCCATGTTTTGTGGGATTTGAAGAGTATATTTGCTTGGTGTATATGTTAAGAATGTACGTACAAAATTTGATATGGGACTTACAGGTGAATGGCCAAGAACGTTTACTTCATTAGTTTCCTATATGGAGGTGAAACTTCAAACCAAACCAAACCAAAAATAGGCTGAGGTGTTGGCATATCTGAAAAAAATGACTTGAGACCTTAATAGGAATTCTATTTTGAATTCAGCTAAGGTTTTCATTTCTACCTTTCTATAGAAAGCCATTCCACCTTTTCCTTGTGAAAGTGTTACTGTTCTAATAAAAAAGAAGACAAGAGTCAGAATTTCTAACACTGATAAAGAACTGCTTGGTGCTTATTAAGAATGTTTATGCAGCTGTCTTCAGAAAAGTCAATTAATTGGCAGACATTACAAAATAGAACTGATAATGTTAAATAAAGCTAAAAACTATAAGCAACTTTATAGTCAAAACAAATATATGTAGCAACTCTTTATTACTCATCTTCACTCCCAAATTAAATTTTCACGTGTTGGGAGTTAATAGCATTTCTGCTTAATTTCTTTGCAAAATTGTAACTAAATAAAAAGGCTAATCTCAGCTATACAAGTCTTAACTCTTTGTAACACACAAAAAAGTGAAGATTGGTGCTTTAATATGCGAAAATGAACTACTTGTATCTTAATTGCTCCATGAATCACTTGGTGAATCGCCTAAACACTGCACACTACATATGAAATAGGCATTTCAAAGGCACCTGAACACAATAGATTCAACCTTCACTTCTTAATCAAATGAATTAGTTTTTGCACGGCAAGGACTTCAACTAAAATGACAGGGAGCTACAATCAGTCGCAAAACCCCCACATAAACATGTTTGCACTCTGTGCTTTAGAAATGTTACCTTAGTCAAGTTGTATCAGGAGATAAGGATTTACTAATACCAGGCTAAGAATTAATGTCTAGGAAGTTTGTACTTTGACAACTCCTTGAAAAATTCCCTCTGTTTCCCTGCACTTCCCTTTGATGGTGGTGTGCCATGGATTCAGTTCCGACTTATAGTGACCCTCTACAGGGTTTCCAAGGCTGTAAATCTTTACGGGAGCAGAAAGCCTCATCTTTGTCCCACGGAACAGTTGGTAGTTTGAAACTGCTGACCTTGCAGTTCACAGCCCGATTCGTAACCACTACGCTACCAGAGCTCCTTATAGGAAGCCATTTATGTTTCTTGCTTTACAAAATGAAAACCCACTGATTCCCCTGCACGCCAGACCATAAGTCCCATCTTCTTGTAGGCTACAGTGTAAATAACCCTATTTCATAAAATGTAATTATTCCTTCAATAGTATCTTTTATTTTAATTTCAAATGGAGTGTCACTCTAGTGATTTCATTGTGACACATGGTAAATCAAACTTCATATAATTCCTATTCATCTTTACAGTCTTCCTTGTTGTTATTAAGTGTGGTCAAGTAGGTTCCAACTCACAGCAACACTGTACAGCGTTTCTGAGGAGCAGCTGGTGGATTTTAGCCACTGACCTTAGGGTTAGGCATCTCAGTGCTTATCCTATAGAAGTTCTACTCTAAAAATGTGACATGTTTGCTAAATAGTAGCTGCAAATTAAAATGTTTCTAAGGAGTCCTAGTGTGGTGTTGTGGGTTAATGTGCCAGACTGCAAAGCTGTTTGAACTGCAAGGTCGGCGGTTCAAGCTCACCAGCTGCTCCCCCGGAAACACTATACAGGGTCGCTATGGGTCAGAATCAACTTAATGGCACTTAGCAACAACAAGGGTAGCACTATGAGAACAATGGGACATATACAGCTTTTCTTACTCCTTTATGCTTCTCCTGAGGCCTCTGTGATGTTTCGCTCTAGGAATTTATACATGCTAACGACCAGCTGTTCTGCAGGAGAAAGATGAGGCTTTCTGCTCCCGTAAAGATTTACAGCTTCGGGAACATTGTACAGGGTCGCTATCAGTCGGAACCGACTACACAGCACATAACCACCAATGAAGGTTTGCATCAACAGAGACACTTAGAGGGCAAGGGAATGGATCTTGTAGATAGATGCAAGCAAATCCTTCAGGCAGCTGGACAAGCTGAAAATAAAAGAAAAGAAGGAAGGAAAGAGGATAGGTGCCGTCTTCATTCTTTTACTGTTGTGCAGCTGAGTGTTCCTCTTATTCTGCTCATACCAGAATGCTCCCTAGAAATGAGAGTGGTGAGATTTTTGGACATGTCATCAGAAAAGGCCAAGCACTAGAAAAGGGCATCAGGTTTAATAGAGAGTCAGGGAAAAAGAGGGAAACCCTCAAAAGAGCCATATTGACAAAATAGCCACAAGCATGGGCTCAAAGATCTCAAAGATGATGAAAATGCGGGATAGGGCAGTTTTATTCTGTTATATGTAACATACCATAAGTCAGATCTCACTCCATGGCAACTAACAACAACAACAACAGTTAAGACTTACAGAGGGTAAGAGGAGTGAGGACTTGAGTCAGGAAAAGGCAAAGGAAGCAATGTCTGCTCCCAGATTCTTGGGGATAAAGTTGCTTAATGTTGAAGGCTCTTTTTAATTTAGGTGTGTGATTCTAGTGAGTAGGGAAGTCTAGGAGATGATTTTTGGAAAGACTGAGTTGAGTAGATTTACAGGTATGATTAGAATTCTTTGTTTCTGCACTATAGCTGTCCTTAGTCCTGGAGGAATGAAAGGATACAAGAACTGAGGTTGTATTGTATAATTTTGGGCTTATTTCCATGTACAGATGAAACGAAAAATATGAAAAGACTGTGGTTACCGTTACTGGCCCGCTGTTTGATGGTTAGCATTTGTTCTCCAGACAGCTTTGCTTTCTTCATTGCTGATGTGGCTCTGGGGCATCCTGACAAACTGAGGACAAGAAATGAAATCGCCCATTATTCACAAGTCTAAGGAAAGCCTCAAAGTTCAGCAGACAGAATGGTCAAAACAAAGCACAACCACAACATTATTTTATTAGGCCAGTTGTCCATGAGAAACTTCTAAAATGGAAAAAAAAGGGAAAAACCAATGTATATAGAATGCCCAGTTATATACACATCAAGATGAAAAATTGAGTGCATACTGTATAATCTTTATGTTTGTATATTCATATACATTTTGTGGGCTGATACATAAATAATGATTACAGTGTTTCAGGGCAGGGAGGTGGGATTATGTGGTGGGAAGGCCACTTTAGTTTCATTGTATACAATACAGAGCTATTTAGAATTTTATGGCGTGAATATTACTTTCAAAAGCTATGTTATTTGCAATGAAATGAAGTAGGATAGGATGAGTGTAAAGCTGATGTTCTCCTATGTAAACTAACACTCAATTCACAATAAAAACTTTAAAAAAAAAAGCTATGTTATGTGGAAAATGGCAAGCATATACAAAGGCTGAATTAAAAATAAGCAACTTAAAACTTATACAAAAGTAGAGAGAAAAGAATAATGATCGCATCATGGAAAATCTTGTTTCATTTACCTCCCCTCCCACTTCTCCCAACAGATTGTTGTTGTTAAGTGCTGTCTAGTCAGTTTTGACCCATAGCAATCCTGTATAAGGTTTCTGAGGAATGACTGGTAAGCTTGAATCACCAACCTTTATGTTCAAACCGACTTTGCAGTCAAGCTCATTAACTCACAGTGCCACACCAGGACTCCCCAAATAGATTATATAGCAGTAAATCTCAGATGTCAAATTTCATGATCTCACCTAAGTTTTTAAAACTAAATTGCTAATACTTTCAAATATATAATATGTCTTCAAATTCCCCATGTCTTCTCATTGTGCAAATACATCGTAGCACTTTCCCTGTATACAGTTCTCATTTGACATTTAAAATTTTGCATTACTTGTTAATTTTTTTATGTACTTAACTAGATTTTAATATTCTTAACGTTTGCTCATTAGAATACTCAGTGCATTGCCAGGTACCTATAAGTGTTACAGGCATATTTGTTAATTGAATTTTATTAAAATTATGTATAAATAGGTAATGAAAAGATTAACCCTATATAATCTAGCATTCCTGGTAAAAAACAAACAAACATAATTTTTTAGTGGTTACAAGAGGTAGTAAAAAAGGGGAGAAGGGAGTTTTGCTAACAGGACTTTGAGTTACTGATGGTAGAACCATTTGGAAAAGGAGAGTGAGAATGATTGCACAGCTTGAAGAAAGTAAGCAATGCCTCTGAATTGTACACATAGAAATGGTTGAATTGCTATCTATTTCCACCACAGCTGAAAATCAAACAACTCAATTCTTCTCAAGATTCTACTTTTACAAGCCCTATTTTCTCCTTCACCAAAAATCCAACTTCTTTGTACCCTTGGCTTTATGTGCCTTTTTCTTTTTGAAAATCTTGCTAGAGGGTTTTGAAAAGATCTGTTAAATCTAAGTCCCTTCACCAGACTTGAAATCATTTAAAGCAGGTCCTATATTCTTTTTCCTACACTAGAGTTTAAGTGTTTATCAAATTGTTGAGGCAGAGATTATTCATTCAGTTAACAGCCAGTTGGCAACAGAGGCAAGAATAGTATCTCATTTCTCCAACTGCTTGTTTAGTGCCTTGTACTGTAAGGCCCCAGCTGATTTTGCCTAGATACTTGACCAAACTTTAGTCAGGCCTCAAGAAATCTTCCAAATAAACTAGGCCTTAGTTCCCTAGTTCCCACCAAGGACAAGGCCAGACTTCAAAACTTCAATATCAAAAAGAATCCTTGAGAAATTTATAACGGTCAGACTGACCCAGGCAGTGATAATACAACAGCTGCAAACATCTGTCTTAGGAAAACATCCTGACCACACACTCACAATTAATTGTTCTATCCCATTCCAAAGCCAATTAATTTATAGAATAGAATGCTTGCTTCATGCCCAAACCAGTAGAAGTATAGATTATGAATCAGTAACCAATCAGAAACCGTACATATGCTGTTACACAAATCTGTCTCCTGAAAGCCTATAAAAACTTGTGTGTATAGTAAGTCAGGGTCGCCTTTGTCTCCTGTTTTAGGAGTCTGTGAAGGTGGACCCCAGCAAGTTGGAAATAAACCTCTTGCTATTGCATCAAACTAGAGTCCTGTTGATCTTTTGGGGTCTCCTACTGGATTAGGCCACAAGGGGTCCTAACAGTACTTAGTGATTTTCTATATATAAAGCATAGAAACTTAAGAAAATAAATGAAGGATGAGGCCTAGAGTCATATGATCTCTGCTTAAATCCTAATTTGACTATTTACTCACTGTTTGAACTGCCAAAGGAACTAATAAATCTGTTTTGGAAGAAGTGTAATCTTAGAAGTGAGGATAACAATATTATGGTAAGGAAACAGGAAAGAAATTACTTGTGACTGCTCAGAAAAGATCATTTGAACCATAAACAACCATCCAAATACAAAGGACAGGGGGGGCCTGGATACAAACAAAATAAGAGAGTATCTCTTAGTGTGTCCAAAACCTAGTGGTGATTGGGAGCCCTCCTTCCGTATTCAGGTACTCATTGTGGGTTGTTAACCATCAGCTACCTATTAAAGGACCCCCTTGACTGGTTTTCAGGGCAGGAGCAAGATTGGTTTTGTTAAGTATCCCAGTTGCCTCTGAAGTGGAATCCATCTTGAAATCTTACACTCCATCATGGATACCAGAGGCACACATCGCATGGGAAAAAAAGAGACAGGGAAATGACACACCAGTATGGAACTCTGCAAATGGAAAGCCATGTGAAATCATGGGAAACTGCCACTACAGCTTAACCTCTCACTATAAATCATCATAGACTGTGATCACAAGGAGACTGCTGTTTGTGGCATGTCTCTCCTTCAGGTATTCCTTTTCCGTATGCTAAAAAAACCCTCCTTTATACTATATTTCTATGTGACTTTCTAGTCTTCTGTAGCCTGACCTGGTATCAACAAGAACTTAATAGACTTCATTCCATATATTTTTGACATGTTATCAGGAGGGGCCAATTCCTGGTGAAGGACATTATGCTTATAAAGTACAGGATCAGTGGGAAAAAAACAAAAAGGCAGATCATCAAACCGAGATGGACTGACACAGTGGTTACAACAATGGGCTCAAACATAGCAATGAATGTGAAGATAGCACAGGACAAGTCCCTGCATGTTAGATCTTACACAGTGGTACCTAACAACAATGTGTCCACCCTTCAGCTTTAGGGTTTTAGTTGTAAAGTGGGAATAAAAATCATACTTGCCTCATAAAAGTGTTTTTAAAAAAATTAAATATAGAAAAAAGATCTTAAACAACAACAACTACAAGCAAATAGCCATGTCCAAATCTGCTCAATAATCTATCTCCCGTTTAAAGAGATAAGGGAAGAGTCATCCTATAGAATCACACAACAGATTAGCTCAGGAACATGCATAAATCTGGCTGGGATCTGGGACATCTGACAATTATCAGCATGGTTGGCCCTGTGAATGTTCCCTTGTGGGAAAACCACTCTCTGTAAGCAGGTCTGTAGTCATTGTTGGTCCTGGTCCATTCCCTCACCTGTATTCACTATCATGGCTTTCTCTTGTTTGCCTTGTATCGTAAAGAGCTGGATACAAATTGTTTACCTATTTTTAAACTTTTTCTTCTTTACACTGTAAACTTCAAGAGGGCAGGGACCAAACATATACTTTTTTTTTTTTAACTCTCTGTGTGGGTCCATGTGTGCATAACATCACACACAAATGTAGCATCCAGTATAAATGGAGCTGCATTTCATGCTTTCCTGTATACTTTCATTTAAACCTTATAATACATCCATCCTCTCAGAGTAGGCTCCCGTCAGGGACATCTACACAGAGTCCTAGTGTGGTCCTGTGGGTTAATATGCTGGACTGACAAAGATGTCAGTTGAGGACTAAGGTGTGCCTGACTCAAGCCATGGTATTTTCAATAATCTCATATGCATGTGAAAATTGGACAGCACATAATGAAGACTGCAGAAGAACTGATGCATTTGAGTTATGGTGTTGGAGAAGAATACTGAAAGTACCATGGACTGCTAAAAGAACAAATAGACCTATGTTTGATGAAGTACAGCCCGAGTGTTCCTTGAAAGCCAGGATGGCCAGACTTTGTCTCTCATACTTCAGAAATATTGTCAGGAGGGACCAGTCACTGGAAGAGGATATCACGTTTGGTAAGGTGGAGTGTCAGAGAAAAAGAGGAAGACCCTCAGTGAGATGGATTGGCAAAGTGGCACTATCAATGGGCTCAAGTGTAGCAACAATTGTGAGGCTGGCTGAGGACTGGGCAGTGTTTTGTTCTGTTGTGCATAGGGTCGCTATGAGTTGGTACCAACTTGATGGCACCTAACAACAACAACAACAACAACAACAGCAAGGTCATTTGAACTGTAAGATCAGCGGTACAAGCTTACCAGCCACTCCTTAGAAACCCTATATAAGGTGGCTATGAGTTGAAACAACTCAACCGTACTTAACAACAACAACCAGAGTAGGCAACTACTTTTTGTTTGTTCTCTTAAAAAAAGAAAATTGAGTTTGAAGGTATAAAGTACTATGGTAAAAATTCAGCCTCACTCATCACTAATGAACCACTTAAATATTTTCCAATTTGCATTGTTTTTGGATGATCCAAGGCAAACAATCCATGGCTTAGTCATATGATTGTGCCCTTATGGATCTTGGGGTCTTGAGAAGCTTTAAGCCCTGGTGATCCTCTCTTAGAAGAGAGGGGGAAGGAGAAATCTTTTTAAGCACCCATTACTTCATATAATTTTTGCTTCCATTTCTTGTTCTCAATTCATGCTGTGAAGCCAATGGGGAAATAGGACCTCATAGGGAGGAGAAGCTGTGTGAGAAATCAAGGGCATTTCCCAAGTA